CAAACACACAACTGAGGACAGAACTGGCGACAATACTGCTGAAAATGACCTACAAGGAGGACTTGGACCTGAAATCACTGCAGTGACCACAGGACACGGGGAGAAGGAAACCATGCACCACTTTGAAGCAATAGAAATGGCCAAAGGAAACAACTGGAGATTTTTAAATGTGACACGTATCATTTCTTTACAAGGAAAAAACAATGAAGCTGAAACAAAGGGCAAAAACAATAGGGAAACAGAATTAAAAGAAACAAATGTAAGGGAAAGAGCAAGAGCTATACTGGGAGATACACAAGCAACAAAACTAAAATAGGCCCTTCTTACAGAGGAAGTGCAAATCCACAGAGAATATTCTCCTTCGCAGAAACGAAACATGAGCCAATTAAAGAAAATCGGAGATCACATCTATTAAATTAGCAAAACATTTCTGAAAGATTAACCTAAAGTTGGTGAAACTGGGCTATTTTGGCATTGACCATTAGTACTATAAGAGTATAATCTTTTTGGAAAACAAGATTATGTGGCAGCACTGTGCTGGGCCACATGGGTACACAATCTTACAATGTTCAGAGAGGCCAAGGCACTTTCCCAGGGTTGCACAACCAAGATTCAAAGTCAGGCTTAACAATCCAAAGTCCAGGAACTTATTATCTATTCAACTTTATTACTTTCCAAGGACATTAAAAAAAGAAAGAAATCTCCCGGGTAATCTCCCATACCTTCAATGATGATAATTTGTTCCAAGGAAAATGTCAACAACAATAACGTTTTGTAAAATTTCACTACAGTGTTGTCTTAACACTTTCAGAGAAAAAGAATTCTAATATCCTATAATTAGACAAGTAAAACAGTAAAGTTAGAATAGTGTATAGGTTTTTAAAAATGTTTTTATTGATTTTTTTAGAGGTAGGGAGAGGGAGAGAGAAACATCAATGTGAGAGGGAAACATCACTCAGCTGCCTCCTGCACGCCCCCTGCTGGGGATCGAGCCCACAACCCAGGCGTGTGCCCTGCCCGCAATCAAAGCAGAGACTTTTTGGTGCCCGAGACAATGCTCAACCAACTGAGCCACACTGGCCAGGGCTAGTGTATAGATCTTAAAGGAAATTCTAAGCATCATATAGAAACATGATGATATTTTGCTTTAAGCAAAAACTAAAAATTATATTTTTTAACTATAACTAATAAAATCAGGATGTGAAGAGAACTTCAAAAATAAAAGTATTTTAGTGTGGGCAGGCTTATAAACACTGTGCTCTTATCATGTCCTTCCATGCTATTGACAAAAAAGAAAAAGACCATGAATTATTTAATGAAGGGTGAGAAGAATCATTTCATGGGTACAAACAGAAATTGATGCAAAAATAAGAAGTTATTAGTCAAGTGTTTATATTTTTTAACAACAAATGAGATTATTAATGGGTGAATGGATACACAAATTGCTCTCTATTCCATGGGCTACTACTTACCATAAAAAGAAATGGATTGTGTTACGTGGGGTGTGGATGAGTGAAAGAAGGTAGACACAGGAGAATACATTCTGTGCGATTTCATTTACACAAAATTCTACAAAAAACAAGTCTATACTGTGTACAGCGATGGAAAGATCAGTGGTTTCCTGGGGTTGGGGTGGGGTAGCTGGATTGCCCTGGTAGGAGCACAAGGAACTTTTAGGGTGTAGAATTGCCCTTCATGTTAATTGTGGTTGTGTAAATTCAAAATTAATGAAATGTATACTTTAAATGGGAGCATTTTATTTTATGTGCATTGTATCTCAATAAAGTTGATTACAAAAAAGAAAAAGACCATGAATTATTTAATGAAGGGTGAGAAGAATCATTTCATGGGTACAAACAGAAATTGATGCAAAAATAAGAAGTTATTAGTCAAGTGTTTATCAATAAAAAAGGCCTATGGAAAAATAATTATTCAAATGTACTTATTCTAGAGGCAAAGAAACATGGCTGAGAAATACAGAACAACCTATTATGTTCGAGACTTTAAAACAGTGGTCAGGATCAAATCAGACATCAGCAAAATAATTACAAAGCACCTACACTGTGCAATAGTATTTTCTTTTTCTATGATGAAAATTTTCCTCATATTATGACACATTCAATACTAATTTATAAAAATGTTCTAAGCTCATCTTAGAATGACCACAGAAATGAAAGCCTGCATTGTTTTAAGTCACCTACCTGGACTTTAAACATCACTAAAAGAAACAAGATTTTTGAAAACTCAGTTTAGAGTAGCAGAAAATTTCAAACTGTCAAATGAAAAATATCAAAAGGTGACCTATGAAAAAATTCTTGGTTAAGTACTGAGAATACATACAAAGATTATACGTGGAGATATGAAAGCAGAAGGATAAAAGGTGCTTACTTCATTAATAAATTTGTGACTTCTTTACTTTCAAGTCTAATTCCAAGTGAATTAATTAGTGAGAAGTGTGGTGATAAGTGGTAATTGCATTAATCACCCCATGGGGAAATTTAATGGCTGCAACCAATTATCGCCCGAGTGGGTGTGGGTGCCAAAACTGCTAGCCTGAGCCTCCATCCATTGTCTCTTACTGTCCTATTTACGATATTTTTAGTAGCAATCTCCACCCTCTGCCAAGAGTAGCACTTTAAGGTTTATTATAATTATCTTATTTTCTCAACAATAGGGCTCAAGACTTAAAAAAAAAAAAAAAAAAACCCTGGGAAATTCTCAGTATAGTTCAGAAACGCTAAACAGCAATTTAGTTATAAAGCTGGCAAGAAGTTAGACAAAATATTTTCAATAAAGTCTTAATTAAGCCCATAAAAATTAAATGTTTGTGAAAGTGTGTGGGGGGGAGTGAGGGTGACAAATATGTGATATGGTCCCAACCATTAAGAACTGAAGGAAGCTAGGTTGTCCCACTAGAAAGAAATAGAGAAGAGCGGAGAATTGAGGGTAGTTTATTGCCAAAAAGGTGCATCTGCTCAGGGTCTCAGAAGTCAGCTATGAAAGGCTCCATTCAAGAAGGCAAAGGGACCACACATTAACCTTGAACAAATGCTACGACAGAAACGGTGGAAGCTATTCTGGCCATAGTCAATTATTACAATAATTTAATCATTTACTATGTAATGTTATGTTATAGCAAGGCCATACGATGCTATTTTATAATATAAAATTTGCTTAGGCTCCAAAGTTTTCCATCACTGAAAGAGACTGTTTCCAAGCTTGGCAAAATCAAGGTTATCAAGTCAGCCCTTTAAATTTTCATAAAATCTGACTCAATAAGGCATGAATGTGTGTATATGTATACATGAGCTCACACCATTAAAAACCCATGGACATGACCAGTAAGGCCGATATGGTGAGGAAGTCCCAGAGTGGCCCATGGCCAGGGACACTGTAAAATATTCAATACTGTGGAGTAAGAAAATAATAAGATTATGGCTCAAAGATTTGCTGTATCTCACACACATTTCATCAGCCACCACCCTGGTGGGTCAATGCAGGTGACAGAATAAATTAGTTGTTACTATTGACTTGAAATAGCTTTTCATCCTGACAGATCAATTAAGAGGCAATTTGAAAGGCTGCATAAAAAATAGCCATGAAATTTAGCAGGTCACTGTCCCTGACCCAGGAAAATCTAGGTCTCCCTAAAACTGCTCAGGATACAGGTACTTGTTTATATCAATGTCACAGGTACTTACTTATATTAATGGCATCAGTTGATGCCAATGATGAATTCTAAAAATACATGAATTCTCAATGAAATAAGCAAAATTCTTAAAAGATTCTATTGCCTGAGTACATTGACATTGAAGCTGATAAAAAAGAAAAGTGACTTTTTAGTAGCTACAAATGAACACCAGCCCTGGCCAGATAGCTTAGTTGGTTAGAGCATCGTCCCAATATGCCAAGGTTGCAGGTTCAATCCCGGTCAGGGCACATACAAGAATCAACCAATGAGTTCATAAGTAAGTGGAACAACAAATTGATCTCTCTCTCTCTGAAAAAAAAAAAAAAAAATCAATTAAAAAAAAATGAATTCCAGAGGTCACATATTCCTACGTATTTACAGAAGCNGAAAAAAAAAAATCAATTTAAAAAAAATGAATTCCAGAGGTCACATATTCCTACGTATTTACAGAAGCAAATTCTCTCCATTAGCACCTTAACACACTCTACAGACAAATGTCCTTGAGCCCCAACAGAATGTGGTCCCTTTCCTTCCTTCAATCCCCAAACCTCTGGGAAAAGGAGCTTTATGGAATTCAAATATGAAGATAAAAATTTAAGTGGTATTTGCTGTTGGAAGGAAATATTGTGACAAATTACATAAAAAACAGCAGTGTGATCTGTTCCGGTTGTTTTCAGCAGAACGCAGGATTATGTGGTTTGCTCGCTCTGTCTCCCCAGTGCCTGGCACACAGCAGGTGAACATACAAAACCAACTCCAGCCAGAAGAGTGTGGTGTCTTCTTAATCATTTCTGTGTCACTCCTGGTTACAGAGTGCTGCTCAAGGCAGAAAGATGGGCTGGCTGGTACTGATAATGATACTTATATTTCTATATTATAGAATTATGATTTTTAGGAATATAATCACAGTATCATTATAAAGTTGACATTTGTTGTAAAATTGTAACGGAGAGAATGATAAAGACTAAAATACAATCCTAGAATTCTGCTTCATGAGGTAACATTTTTAGTATACTGTGTTCCAATATTTTTCTGTGTATACAATTGCTATATGATGCATATAAAGGGTGGGGCAAATGTAGGCTTACAGTTGTTGGTATGGAAAACAATACAATCATTAATAAATAACAATACAAGAATAAACTGTTTTGAGTACTCACCACTGTAAACCTACTTTTGCCCCACCCTGTATATATAATGCTTATTTAAATAAAGATTATAGTGCTGCATCTTGCCTTCCTCACTAATGTAATAAGCAAGTTTTCCATACTATTAAATATACTTGAGTATGTGTTTTGGTTGCTGCAGTGGATCTTACTTTATGGATATAACAAGTTATTTAAGCCATTCTCCAATTCATTATTTTGTAGGTTTAGGGGTAAAGAATCTTATTTTTTATAGAAAAGAATATCTTTCCTCCTTTCTGAAAAGCTGCTCATTTATTTTCATTTCTTTTTTGACTACATGGCTCAGAACTTCCAGAAGTAGTGTCAATAAGAAAAATCACATGTTCCTGATTTCAACAAACACCAGCTAAGCAGTCGTTGACATTTCTGATGGGTCCATACTAAAAGGTAAGCGCACAGTAAATATTAAGGATCTATCAATAGAATACTTAAAAGTTTGTTGTTTACACTCATGAAGCCAAATACATGTATACATTTTCCTTCCTTTCTAGAAAACAAAGCCTTTCATCATAAGACCAAATTTCAAATGTCAAAACCTATCATTTCAATTTAAAAATAAAAGCTAGCAATCACTGAAACTGGGACAGGCTCCAAAAGTTAACTTGCAGCTAACAGAAAGAACGAGCAGTTCTGAATCAGAAAATGCTGCCCCAAGAGGAAAGCCACCAGAGCCCTTCTCCACTCAGGCCAAGGGCAGGTGGGATGCCCAGCGCCCCCTAGCGGCCAGCTGGCTAACTGGTTTCACCTGCAGTGAACCGACCGGGATAATTATGAGTGTCTGTCACCAGGAACAACATCCCTCTATCACAGAGCAGTGTTGGCCAACTTCCAGAAAGAAGCAGAATATTCTGTTGAGAATTTTGGCATCTATGTTCACCCAGGATATTGGCCTGTAATTCTCTTTCTTTGTATTATCTTTGTCTGGTTTTGGTATCAGAGAAATGCTGGCTTCGTAGAATGAGTTTGAAAGTATTTCTTCCTCTTCAATTTTTTTTGAATAGTTTCAGGATAGGTACTAATTGATCTTTAGGTAGAATTCCCTTGTGAAGACCTCTGGTCCTGGGCTTTTGTTTGCTGGGAGTTTTTTTATTACTGTTTCAGCTTCGTTGCTAGTAATTGGTTTGTTCATATTCTGTTTCTTCCTGGTTTCATCTTGGAAGGCTGTATGTTTCTAAAAATTTATCCATTACCTCTACATTGTCATCACAGCATTTTTTAATGACCCTTTGTATTTCTGTGGTGTTGGCTGTAATCTCTCCTCTTTCATTTTCTGGCTTTATTTGTATTCTCTCTCTTTTCTGCTTGATGAGTCTTGCTAGAGGCTTGCTAATTTTATTTACCCTCTCAAAGAACCAACTCTTAGTTTCATTAATCTTTTCTACTGTTTTTATTGTCTATTTCATTTCTGCTTTGATCTTTATATTTCCTTCCTTCTGTTTACTTTGGGTTTATTTATAACAGCCAAGATAGGGAAGCAACTAGGTATCCAATGATAGATGAGTAAAGAAAATGTGGGGGGTGTGTATATACACACACACACACAGGAATATTATGCAGCAACAAAAAAAAGAATAAAATCTTGCCGTGTGTGACAACATGGATGGATCTAGAGGGCATCATACTTAGTGGAAAAGTCAGAAAGAGAAAAACAAATACCATATGGTTTCACTTAGGATGTGGAATCCAAAAACAATACAAACAAACAACAAAATCAGACTCACAGAAACAGAGACCACAGGGATAATTACCAGAAGGGGGGAAGGGGAATACAGTCAATAATATTGTGGTAAGTTTACATGGAGATAGATGATTATGAGAATTAGCAGGGTGATAACATTGTAAGATAAAAATGTTGAATCACTATATTGTACACCTGAAACTAATATAAGCAATATAAGACTGCATATCAAGTATACTTAAATAAAAATAAATTTTAAAAAAAGAAGAAAAAATAAAGCAAAATAGAAAAAATCCTGAGACAGGTCTTTTTTGCAACTCAACAAAAATAAGAATGACTTTTCATATTTATTCTAACACAAGATCTTTCAGCAAAGAGAGTAATTCAGTAAATGAATTGTGAATGGAGAAAATTTGAGTAATGAGGACAGTTTAGGGAACCAAAATAAAATTGGGAAAGAAAAAAAAATACTGTTCTCAGACAGTGGTGCAAATGCAATTACTTCTGTTTTTATTTTAGAAAATTTTGGAAACAGAAAATAAAGCCTGTCTTTTTAAAATTTATTTTACTTTTTGGTCACTCCTTATAAGGAAAAATAAGAAAGTAACTTACAATAACTTCCCTAAAGGACTCCTGATCACTGATTGTCTTGTCTTCTACACATCTGGATTGATTCAAGTAGTGGTAGTTTTCTGGCGCAGATAAATAAAATTCTTCTACAAAAGGCAAAGAAAAACATAACATCAATACCTGGCTGGCCGAATCTCAGTTTTCATTTTGTGATGTTAAAATCAAGTACATAAATAGTTCTGTGCTAATAGTCCCCTATAACATAAAGTCCTCTCTTAATCATCAGATACGGGAAATAGAAAGAATTTAATGAAACTAAGTGGGATGGTAGATAATGTTACTGAAAAAAAAATCGACGAGTATCCTGTTTTGATTGTTTTCTCTTAAAAATCGAATGTTCAGAAATTAGTTTTATTCGGGTGTAGGTTCAAAGTAAAACCGGTTGTAATACATTATATATATTTTCATAAATATTCTTTAAATCAGAAGAGCACCAAGATTCCAAAAACAAACACAAAATTTAAGATTTCCCTATTGATGACTTTCCCTGTGCATTATTTGGCTGTAAAAGGAACTCAGTATCGTTCGATATTCTCATACATTTGGCATCGAGTGGCGGAATATCAACAAAGTCCAAAGAGACGCCTTCTGGCGTGGGCGGGTTTACAGGGAAACCAGCGGCCAGCAGTCCCCTCTGCTGCTGAGCCGCCTGCTCACCTCTCTGCTCCCGCTCCAGCCCTGCCAGCAGTGCATAGAATATGTGGTAATTCCTCTCCCCAGGATTCTGCCTCACTACTCGGTTCTGCGGAAATAAATCAGATTTCTATTCAGAGATGCTTCCCCTGCTTAATGAACACAAACCAATAATTTCCGAAAATTGTGACTGTGACAGAAAATGTGAATTAAATCATGTTTACTTACTTTTTCTAATAAATCTTCATGTGAAAAGCAATGGCAAGTCAAGGAACAAAACCAGGATATGACCCACTTAATTAGTCTTTAATTTTCTGTTCTGTTACCCAGATAATGACAATGGCCCGTTCCTCTGACACTGAGACGTCCAGAGCCAAAAGATAAGCCCTCAAAGCACACACTATCTCACCTAAATCCAATTTCAAACATGACCCGTGGCACCCTACGACATGCCAAACGATTTGGCAGAATTTATTTCAAACAACAAACAGCTGATGTTTGATCATGAATCCATTTTTTTCAGATTATGGACATGATATCAGAGATTTCCAAAAGAAAACTGGTTCTTTATCTCCTAGAATAACAGATAGGCCATTCATAGTAATCTTAGAGCAATAACTAGGTAGGAAGAACCAGATAGAAATGTTTTATTTACATTCTTCACCTGTCCTTATGATAAGAACAGTTTCTACCTGTGGAGTCGAATACTGTAGACAAAAAACTAAACGAAACAGGATACAATCTACAATCCTCCCGCCCTGAATGTTGCCCTTCTGGCAGATGCTCAGCTGAACAAACTTCCCGAAGCGACTGGAGTTGTTGTTGTAGACGGTCTTGGCGTTGCCAAAAGCTTCCATGATGGGGCTGGAAAGAAGTCAGGACAGCGGTGAGTGTCAATGAGGGTAGCTCTAAACACAGCAAGGACGCTCCCCACGAAAGTCAGGTTACACAAGGCCAAGGACAGTCTGAAATCGGAGGACCAACGTTGGGTGATTACGTTCCCTTAGAGAAGAGCCAGACTCTCCAAGCACCTGCTGCAATGGGTTTATCGGGGACATCCACCTTGAAGGAGAGCTCTGACGGCCGGTTGTGCGGGTACAGGATGCCATACAGAGCGAAGGAGGCCACGACACCCGTCCCTGCACAGGTTAGCTTGGGCTTATGTACACCAGCCAGGGGCTGCACAGAAAAAGCCCCTATTGCAATTCCAGGGACTGAAAAAGTCCAGTCCTGAAAATTCTGCCCATTTGTTGTATGTCCTGGGAGCAACTCATTTAGCTTCTTTGGGTCTTCTCTAACTTTAACATGTGGTTAGGCTAGATCAGGGGTCAGCGAACTTTTTCTGTAAAGGAGCAGATAATAAATATTTTTGGATTTTTCGGGCCATGGGGTCTCTGTTGCAACTACTCAGCTCTGCCGTTAGAGCTTGAAAGCAGCTATAAATGATCTGTAAACAGCCCAGCTGGCATAGTTCAGGGGTTGAGCATCGACCTATGATCCAGGAGATCATAGTTTGATTCCTGGTCGGGGCACATGCCCAGGTTGCTGCCTCGATCCCCAGTGGGGGCCGTGCAGGAGGCAGCCAGATCAATGACTCTCTCATCATGGATGTTTCTCTCTCTCCCTCTCCCTCTCCCTTACTCTCTGTAAAATCAAGAGACATATTTTTAAAAATTTTAAAAAAGATCTGTAAACAAATGAGTGTCTGTATTCCAATAAAATTTAATTTATAAAAACAGGCTACAGGGGGGAGATGAAAACATTCAGGAGATGAACGGTGGAAATGGCTGCAGAGCAATGTGAATGTACCTAATGCCACTGCACTGTACACTGAAAATGTTTCAAGTTATAAATTTTATGCAATGTATATTTTATTACAATTAAAAAAATAAAGTTTGAATGCTAAAAAGCCAAAACCAAACCAACCAAAAAAAAAACACAAAAACCGGCTGCAGAATATAGACTAAGTTTGTAGACTCCTAGATTAATTTCTAAATAATAGGATCTATGAAGTCCCTACAGATTCTAAAATTTTGTAAGGCACAAATCAGACACTGGGTAACTGCATATTTTAAAGAAAATTCCAGATGATACCTCCCCACTCAGCCCTCTTTCAAGTCATGAGGCTCACTGGCATCAAACAGATCAGTGATCTTCTGCCACACGAAGCTATAAAAATGCCCCCTGCTTACATGGCACTTCTAGAAGGCAGAATGCGGAACAGGAGCTCACTCCTCTCCACGCTGAGACCCCTGTCACTCAGGGGCTGGAGGCTGACATTTCCACTGATAACAAGGCCTCCCAAAAGCTAGTCAAGGACTCGGGTAGAAGGAGGCCTCCCCAACTCAAACCTGGCCCACGGGTGGCTGCTTGGGTTATTAGAAATTGCTATGTGCATGTCAAGACTTCTCCTTGAGGAAAAAGAAAGAAAGAGAGAACACAGACCCACTAGTTTTAACTCTTCCTTAGGCTACACGGTGAGGAAAGTGAACCCTATTAGCTGGAGACAAGGAACACAAGGAAGAAATACCTGCTTTCAAGAATGGCTTGCTCAACACAGGATGTCTTCTCCTTCAAAGAGAGTTCCAAAGACTGTTGGCTGATGACAGATAAAAACTTGAGGATCAACTTGGTGCTTTCAGTTTTACCTGCCCCGCTTTCACCGCTGAAAGACAAAAGGCAGAAGTTTGTGCTTCTAAGTATCAATTCTTTTACAAAAACCACCTTGGCCAATGTCACTGCAATCTGTCCTCTGAACAAATGCTGAAAGGTGGAGACAGCTCAAAATGCCTGTTTCAAGAGCTGAGTTAAATGAAAGCAGAAGTCCTTTGTCCCGCGGGCCACAAAGGGCACAGGAGATCAACAGAACTACCTTTGCTAAGGTTCGGTTATGAGATGGACAGTGCCTGTCGCGGGAGGGAAGGTCTACACCCTGGACACCTCCACGGTGCCGGGCTGGTCGCCAGCACTCAGGGAAAATTTGTTAAATGAGTAAGCACATTAACATTATGTTTCTGGGGAACTTAAAGCAGGTAAATGTGCATAGAAACGCAATCAGTCATAAATATTATTGAGGGGGTGAGTGAACCCCCAGGTCCCTGGCCCACACCAAGGCATTTCATGCCCACGATTGTCCCGTGAGGGAGGCAGCGGCTCTGCGTGCAGTCAGAATTTGACACCAGGTCAGTCTGAGTCCAAAGTCCTGCAGAGACCGCACTTTAGTGCCCGTTAAGGAAAAGTGAACAAAGCGATGCAGAGGGAGGGGCCAATGGGAGACGGAATGAGGTACAAGCTGTGCTTTAAGGGACTGGCAAGCACCAGCCAGGCGGAGGAAAGAGACTGACTGATGACGACAACGTGAGCGAAAGCCCAGAAGCCAGATGAGCTTGGAAAGGCCTACGGGGCAGTGGGATTCCAGTTAGGTCAGTGGGACTGAGATGGGACTGAGTAGAGAGAAAAGGGCTAAAGGACTGAATTTCATCATTCAGAGGCACCTTCAGGAGATGGGAGGCCAAGACAGCTCATCAAAGTCACCCATAAAAAACACAGCTCTGGAGTTAACGCTCCAGGAGAGTGGGGTCACTCAGGAAGAGCAGCTGCTATGATCCAGGCGTGTGACAGTAGGTCCTGGACAAATCCAGCTGGGCTGGAGCTGGAGGGATGGGATGGAAATGGAAGAGATCTGGACGGAGACACTCAGTTTTGTGTAAGGCACCATGCTTGGTACTGTGGGGAGAACAGAGGCAGTAAAAAGGCAGAGAACTTACCAAAAAAGTAAACCAAGGACATAAGTAACAGTACAGCAATACCAACAATATCACAAGGCAGCATGTTAATAATTGCTAAGTGCAGCTGGAGCTCATATAAACAGATGAGCTCCAGGTAGATGCTCACTGAGTGCCAAGACCTAGGAAGTGAGCATGAAAGAGGAATTTTGCTGAAAACTTGGTGAATGATTAAGCACATGAAATAAAAGAGAGGAAATGACTCAGAAATGACACCTTCTGTGCCCTGCTGGGTGCCACAGGCCCAGCCCATGGGGAATCTCTATCGGTCCAGGCCAACTGTAGTAATTCCATTCCCTTTGCAAGTTAGCCCTGGGCAGGTGTCAGGATTTTAGCCAAAGAGACTTAAAGCCAAGTGTGCTGAGGGCCCCTGGGGAGGTCTGCATGCACACCAAAGAGAACAGGCAGAAACAAAACCCCCACCCTTTGCTGCAGACAGCAAATACCTGGGAATCCACACCTATCTGAGATCATAAAGCAAAAGCCAAGAAAATCAGAGAAGCGCCCAGCAGGAGTGGCTGAATCCACAGCCCTAAAGCTGCCCGGTCTTGTGTTGTCTGAGATAATAAAGGCCATGCAAGTTAGGCAACTGTGGCTGGGTTTTCTGTTATCTGGAAACCAGAATCTCCCCAGTACTAGAGGCATTCAGCCGAGGATGCACTGAATGAGCAACACAGAAACCAAAAGAAAGTTGCAAGAAGAGATTTAAATAATTCTTGATATTAAAATGCAAAAATGTGCACAGGGGTGAACTGGGTGAAAGTGAAGGGAAGGGAGAGAAAAGAAGGGAAGGGGAAGGGGAGGGGTCAGGATTTCAGCCAAAGAGAAAATATACCACCAAAAAAAGCCCAATTAACAAGACTAATTTAAACCTCCAGTTAATTTAGCTTTGCTCACTTTGCACTGTGACTGCCTTACTGCTCCGATTTGAGCCTGTTGAATCTTTTCTACTTGGGCAGGGTAGTGACTCATTTATTTCACCTCCCCCTTATCCCAGCCACCATACAGCAGTAACTCCTGTGCAATTACGCTGTTATTACCTTCACTTAGAGCAAACATATCACTTATATCTCCAGCCCCACACTTTTCTCACTAGCCCAGGGCAATTCGGGTCCTAACCCTCAGCACCAACACGATTGCAAACAAACATGGGCTTTGGAGAAAACATGCTCCCTGAGATGAACCCAAGTGAGCTGATACTTTATAAAGATAATAGTGAAAGAGAAAAAGAAAAATAACCCAAAGTACTGACGTGGGGCCTCAAAGGCCATATCAAAAGTTTGGAGAATTTTATCACTGGCGGAAAGGGAAGTCACAAGACAGTTGTTAAGCAGGAGAGGGTCATGATCAGGTTGGAGGCTTTAAGGGAGGAAGTGGGGAGACAAGATGTGAGAAAGCAGAGGTGAGCAGTGAGGCCCAGGACAGACTGCGGAGGGAAGAAAGGAAAGAGTGGCTGGTGGCCCGGTCAGGAGGGTTGGTTGGTAAGTGAGAGGGAGGGTGGGGAATGACTCCCAAGAGCCGGGGAGCTTGCTAGCATGGTGATCTGGGCGTTGGTAACACGGGTGTGCACTTCTGTCAGTAATCAAACTGTGCATGGAAGAGCAGCATACTTGACCTTAATTGAGGGTGGGGAGGTGGGAGACTTCTAGATCCAAGAACGGCTTCTTGATCTCAAGCTTAGGACCTGATAGAATGGAAGGTCCGCTTGCTGAGAACGCAAAGCATGAGAGGAAAAATAAACTTCTGGGAGAAAATTAGGATGAATTTAGGACACGAAACATCTCTGTGATGACACCTCAGGGGCACGTGGGCACATATCTGGAACTCAGAGGAGAAACTGGCATGGGAGGTGTTTAAATTGGGGGTCATGAAGATCCAAGAGGAAAGGCAGGTTGGTTGTCCTAGCAAGCAGGACAAAATCCTTAAGGCTCAACCCTGTACCAGGAATTAGGACTCTGTGCTGAAACAAACAGAGGGAGACTCATGTTCAAATCATGTGTCTGTTGTTCATAGCTGTTCTCTTTAGCAAGCTACTCAATAGCCCTTGGGCTTCTTTGAGGATTACACACAAACTTATCTTCTCAATAAATGTCAGTTCCCTTCTATTGTCTTTCCCCAGCTCCTTCATGCTCCTTAGCAAACCGCATATCCTTACAGGCATACCTTCCATTTCCTAAGTATTCTTGTTTTGCCAAATATCTGTTTTTGCAGATGCTTCTGTGCCCTTCCTCCCCTCTAGGCTGGCTGTATTCCTACAAGATCACATCACTTTCTCTATGAAATATCCTCTTGGCACCTTTTTGAGTATCTACTACTACCGTCTCTGAGCAGCCATATATTATTTCTCTTACAGCATGTTGCAGGCTGAATTGAAATTATTTACATCAGTTTCTTCCCGTCAGAGTAGAGGTTCCTGAAAGGCAGTGATTGGGTCTTCTTTTTTTAAATCCCCAAAGCCTAGCACAATACCTGACACATTATGTGAGCATAAGACATGCCCTGGACCTTATTCTGGTTGGTACTTTCTAATCAAGGATGAAAGCTTTGTTCACTGTCCCAATTCAGTCATTTCTAAATATATTAAGAAAAAAGAAAAATACCGAACATCCAATTATCATTCCAGAATATAAACAACATAGTTAAGAAGAAATTGCTTTGGTTTTGGAAAAGCAAAATATGCAAAGGAGGCAGAGGTCCTAAACCAACAGTCACTCCTCCTGTCCACCCTTTGACAGCTGTTGAAGGCTGGCCCCCTATCAGACACTGTTCTGGGCAAGGATGAATCCACCACAGGCCTCGCCTACACGATGTATTCTAAAAGGTCACATATACTGAAAAGACCATAATCAACTAAACTCTGCCTGCCCAATACAATGTATGAAAAACTGAAGTCAATGCAGAAAGTACTAGATCAACCAAGACCAAATGCTGCCCCGGTCAGTTAGATGAAAAAAATATTTCTCAAATATGTTTTAAACTTATATATTTATATTTTTAAAACGATAATAGCATGAACATTCTTCATTTAAATGTGCACAAAAAGATAAAACTAAGTTTAAAAGAGGTAAACGACCTTGAAAGTGAGACCAACAGAAGGGGCTTAGCCTAGAAGCCTAGGAACGTGGCACTGACACCAACCAGCTGGGGTCCTTGGCCGAGTGATGTGGCCTCAAAGTGAGAGAAAAACTGATCTATGAAGTCCTGTCTAGTTCCAAACAGGCTTATTTTCTGATTTAAATGGTATCAGCATGAGCTATTTTGAAAGTAGTGAAACAGATTGCAGCCACCAGAGGGCAGACAATGCCTGAGGATATCTAAATAGGGCGCTCCTATCCTGCAATTTTTATTTTTAGACTCAATTTTCTCTTAATTCTCACAGCCCCACCCCCACTTAAAAAAAAAATTTTAAAAACTGCTGGAGAGAGCTATTAAAAGCCGAAACACATTTTAATGAGAAATCTACTCTTAAAGACTGTTTCCTGAGTTAATTTAGATAAATACAGTTAGTTTTTCAGATCAGCATGACACAATGGGAGCTTTCAGTTTGGGATCCACTCCTCCCCTGCCCCCACCTCCTTCCACCTGACTTTTAGAGACCACAGTCTTTGGCATGAAAATGCCAACCCTCTTCCGTTTAATTACACACACACACACACACACACACACACACACACACACACACACAACACACATGCACAATGATCTCATTTGATTTCTCACTTTCTTCCTAAGCTCCTCCGTCTAGCAAGTGATATATTAGTCATGCTCTCATTTTTTTCCCACTTAAAGTAAGAAGCACAGGCCATCATCAATGGCAAATATTCAGGTACCTAAGTGTGGGAAAGAATTCAGTCTTCTTAAAATAGATTAAGTTCTCTCTCTTTCTGTTAATCTTATTAAATTAGATTCTGTATGCTGAAATAGTGATCTTAAATTCTAACTTCTGAACTTCAGCGAAGTCACCTGAAAGAACCCAGAAACCGTGCTTCTCAACACAAGGCAGGTTACTTTATTGGGAATGTGACTCTTAAAAGCTGTTTTTAGATGAACCAAGTAGCTTCATTTTCATTAACTGCAAGTTATAATCATTCATATTTATTTAACGGAATAAACTGACAGTCCCTCTATTCGAGTGGTTTTCCACAGCCCAGCACATTAGCACCAGTAAGATGATGGGGAAAAAAAGAATTTATCAGCCCAGGTATTTCTCTCCCCTTAAGAAAGAGGCAGAGAGGGAGAGGCTCTGAGAAAGGCACTGTTTTGTCTTTCTCACTCATATCGTGCCTATTTGTCACAAAAGCAAGGACCCAAGAACAAGAGGTAGGGGTAAAAACTGCCAGTCACAAGAACACAGCCCCTGCCAGTAGTTTTCTGGGCGTGGCTGTCATATTGAACACCCACATCAAAGGGTGGCTGGGCGGTTTCAATGAGCTGATGCCTGGAAAGTTCTTGGCACAGTGTCCAACAGTCGTCCTTTCAAAAAGGGACAGCCACTATTTCATAGCCACCTTCAATCAGGTACCGCACAGGGCGGGTGAGTACCTGGCAAAGGTCCTTGGCTGGGGCCCCTCCATTTCCTTCCCTGGGGTTTCCATGAAGGGCCTCCTCTGGCATGTCTCCCCACCTCCCCCCCTCCCCTCCCTCCCCACAGCAGCAGGAGCAGCTTCTCTGACAGGTGAACTGGGGGAGGGCCGGTCTGTTCCTCGCCATCTGGGAACTGGTTTCCCACAGGAACTGTGGCCACCAGGTACCTGCCTGCACCCCTGACCAGGTAGGCCTGCCTGTCTGATCTGGGGCTGCAGTGTTAGCAATCCTGACTGGCTGGAAGTCTAGAGCTGCCATATGGCTGCCCATCTGCCTCCTGGGCCTGACTTCCATTGAATCAGAAATCGGGAGGGGAGGGGAGGTGGGTTCTTATTTGTTCCTCTCCCCCCAAATCCAAACGCCCCTTTCCTCTTGAAATAATACAATTATTTTGCCACAAGTTGGGACTAGAAAAGCATCTAAAAAAGATGTCAAAGTCTTTCACTTGGGCAGTTCGGTTTATATACCACTGGTTCTCAGTAACAGCCACGCTCCAGGAGTGAAAGCCTGGAAGACCATTGAATGAAGTGCTTGGGACTCCATGGAAACCCAGCTGAAGTAGCACTCAGCTCGCCGCCCTGGATACCGTCCAGGGGTGTTCTGATCGTCACGAGAACAGGATTCCAATATAACAATTAATAAGAAGGTCTAGTCAGATGTCCCTAGAATATAGGTGATGAGGCACTTTGAATTAGTAAGAACTAAGAAATGTTTTTAAAGAGAATGATTCTATTTCTTTCTTAGACAGTTGCGAGTAATAAAGGTTTCACAGTAGGGCTTCTGTTTATTTCACTGATGAGTAAGACTCCGCTGAAACAGATATGTCAAGATCCTTCCTCTCTCTCACCAGAAAGAATTAAATACACTAAGCATGCTCTCCTGTCATTTCCTTAACATATAATAATGGTCCTTTTCCCGTACCAATTCAAACATACACTTTAGGAACATCCAATTCAAACCACTAAAAAGTCTTCAATTTGGGAGATTCCAACCTCGTTGTATGAGTAATAAAAGAACTTTGCTCAAACCTGCGAGAATTCTGTCTAGCGCTCTAGAACATCACACATGTTGATTTGAAAGAACTATGCAACACTTCCCTAAATCCACAGAAAGACCAAACCTCACAGCTGGAATAAACTGAAGAATAATTACGGCAATTAAAAAAAAAAGAAACAAATGGGGTAAATACTCTAAAGACAAATGTCAACAAACGTAGTACACCTTGCTTTTCTAATAAGTGAGCTCTTGGTGTCCTTTGAAAGCTATAGTTAAATTGAGCTATTCTAGATGGAAAACATCATTTGAGAAATTCGGGAACTTACGCACGTTTCCATGAATGTGCTCAGCAGGCGGGGCGGGGGCGGTCAGAAAGTGCTGGCGGGGACTCCAGCGGGTGGGGTGGGAAGGCTGGCCCCCCGAAGGCCCCCCAGGCCCCCTCCAGCCTCGGGGCTGGCCGGGTGCTTACCTGATCAGGATGCACTGGTTGTCGTGGCGCTTCCACAGGCAGCGGTAGCACTCGTTGGCCACGGCGAAGACGTGGGGGGGCAGCTCCCCCAGGTGGCACTTGCTGTAGCGCTCCATGGTCGCGCGCTCGTACAGGCCGGGGATGGGCTTGTAGGGGTTCACCGAGGCGATGATGGAGCCGATGTAGGTCTGCAAGCGCAGGGACACCGTCACACAGGGCACTGGGCGAGGCCTGCGCACCTCCGCCCGCCAGGGCTGGGACGGGACGGGGGGAGTCCCTGCAGCTCAGTGCCGCTCCCCACGGAGAAGGGGCGGAGCGGCCACTTGTCACTAAACATGAGCTTTAACAGAGTCCACTTAGTGTCCGGTAGGGGAACGGCGACGTCTGATCCCCGCTGCATATGTTTTTCCTGTAACATTTTGGTACAGAATCTTATCATTCTGTACAAATGAATGAAGCCATTTCAAAGACTTACTAAGGGAAAGGAGATGGTGAAGCAGCCCAGGTCCAAATGCCTCTCCCCCGTGACCTCCTACCCCTGTCCTCGAAAGAACCCTGTCCTCGTGAGGTGGCTGCTATGGACCACAGGATTAAAGAGAGCATGAGAGAGGCGGAGGGGCTGGGGAAGGAGGGATGGGGAGCGATTGTTTAATGGGCACCGAGTTTCTGTTTGGGATGGTGAGAATGCTCTGCAAATAGATGGTGGTTATGGTTGCATAACATTGCAAATGTATATATTTTAAAATATTTAAATACTTTGAATTTTTAAATTACAGTTGACGTACAATATTACATTACTTTCAGATGTACAACCCCGTGATAAGACGTTTACATAACTTACAAAGTGATCACCTGTATAATGCAAATATATTTAATGCACTGAACTGCACACTTAAAATAGTCAAAATGGTAAGTTTGATGTTGTGTATTTAACCACAATGTCAAAAAGTAACAAGACCATTTTGAAAATACTAGGTAGTCAGTAATCTCAATGGCTCCTGAAAGGCCCAACCACTTACCTGGAACTTAGCTGATGGAGAAGCTCACCTCTCTGGAACAAAAGGCAGGCCAGAAATTAAGCAAAATCTTCACTGAGCTATGAATATGGAATGCCTCGTGTCTCCTCCACATGGACATAAGCTTTCACTTGCAAGATGCTAATGAAGCCTGCCTGTCTGGTTTCCAGGCTTAGACCCAACTGAAGGAGCCAATCAGAAGGGGAGGAGGCAGAGCCCTGCAACCATCACCCCCCACCAGCCATTTTTTATGGCATGCACGTGCTGTGCCAAGGGCTTTAGGGGGGTAATGGGCTGAACTGTGCCTCCCCCATTCATATGGTGAAGCCCCAAATCCCCACTATCTTAGAATATAACTATTCTGCCTTTAAAGAGATACAGCCTTTAAAGAGACGTTTAAGTTAACCATTAAAGTGGGCACTAATCCAATCTGACTGGTATTCTCATAAGAAAAAGAGATTTGGACACACAGAGAGATGCCAGGGATGTGTGTGCACAGATAAAGATCATATGAGAACACAGCAAACTAAGAAGGGAGCCCTCGGAAGTAACCAACCCCACCAGATGTCCTGATCTTGGACTTCTAGCCTCCAGAACTGTGAGAATCAATTTCTGCTGTTTAAGCCACCCAGTCAGTGATATTTTGTTACAGCAGCCCAAGCAGACTCATACAGAGGGCCTGACCCCTTTAACACTTGTAATAACCCTGGGAGGTTCACAGTTCTTCCGGTGAGGAAACTGAGACATAGAGAGAAAATTCTGTGGACAGTCACACAGCCAGTAAGTGATAGAGGTGAGATTTGAACCCCAGCAACACAATGCCAGAGCCCTCTCTCATTCACTGGCAAGGCTGGGCAATGCAGCAGAGCTAAAGGAAAGCAGGAAACACTAGACAGCAAGTCCAAACATCCTGAGAGCATCTGTACCGTATTACAGCAATTTGTAATCATTTATATTCATGGTGACTGCCAGGAACATCAAGCAAAGGATCTATGTTCCATATAACTGTTCTCAAATGTAAGGGGGTCTGCAATGCGTTTTGGAAATATATTGAACCAAAAAAGGTTAAAAACATAGAAGAGAGAGTACCATATGATCCAATGATTCCCCTCCTAGGTATATGTCCCAAAGAATTAAAAGCGGGTACTCTAATGAAGACAGAGCAGCATTAGTCACTGTAGTCTAAACATGGAAACAACCCAAATGTCAATCATCAGAGAGATGGGTAAACAAGAGGTGGTCTATCCAGACAATGGAATATTCAGCCCCACAGAAAGAACGAAGTACGGATACCAGCTAAAACACAGATGAGCCCTGAACACACTACAAAATCAAAGAAGCCCCCCACACAAGTTCACATATCCAGAAATAACAAGGCACAGCATGTTCCTTCACCTTAATAAAAAGTTTTATAATACACACCTTCAGATGTCAACCCAAACTGAGAAACAAAAACGCTCTGATGACAACTATAGACCATTTAGTAGAGAGAGAACAGAAGGCATTCAGATTTTCAGAGACAAAATAGTTCATTAGAGTTCAAATAATAAACACGTATGTTGTGGTGACAAATTCAACAAGTGGACTCCCACGTACCAACAGGGACAGCAAACAATAGACCACGAGCCAAACGCAATAATCTGAAATCTCTCATTTAAAAAAAAGAAAAAAAAGAATGTGTAACATGTGTGTCTGGCTGGTATGGAAAGAGAGCCTAACTTCTTATTTTTTAAGATTATAGGAACCCTGGTCTCATTTAGAGTTAAAATGCCTCTCTACTCTAAGAAACTCCATTTAGGACCTGGGTAAATTAGGCTCTTAAAACACGAAGGCTCAAGTTTTACAATTTCACCTTCTCACTAGTGACCTAAGTCATTTCTTGAAAGGGTTGTCACCGATTTTAAATGCCAATGAAGCCTACATGTTTCCACAACAGCTTTACCTGACATCCCATAATCGTGGGACACAGAAGACAATCATGACAGTGTCACACGCCCTCATTTGCTCCAAGATAACCTTGAGGTGTGGGCAGGGCACAGGTTGCTGTTCTGCCTCCTCTGGCAGATGAAATGGGCAGAGGACAGCAAGTACTACCCCTTCAGTCACAGTGCCAGGGACTGATGTCACACTGCGGGTCTGCATGGCCCCCTTCACCACCCACCCACGGACAGAATGGGAGTCAGCCCAGACGTGCCCGGCCTCACAGTCAGTGACCAATGTCTCCATGTCCTGTAAGCTGCACTTTCAATAAACTCTAGAACATTCCCCTTTCCCTCCACCTCCACCGCCCTGACTTGACTTGCTTAGGTTTCCATAAACGCCTCCTTCCTCCTGATGTCGCACGTGGTCATGGTCCTGTAGGCTCAATCCAAGATCCACACCTGACAAATGAACTGAAGACGAAACTCTCTTGCTTAAAACTTCCATGACCTTCACGATCAACCACAAGAATATTTGAGAAGGGAGTCTGAGTGGCTCCAAGAAGGTGATGGGACACCCCATGTCCTAATCAATTATTCTCATTACAGTTATAGAAGGGAGGGGGGCTTCAGTATCCTGAAGGGTCTTTACAGGCTCATTGGCTTTTTATTGCCTGTGCCCATGTGCACACCAAACAGCACTTATGAACCTCCCTAAAAACTATTGTAAAATAACACAGCAACAATAGCAATAGTGCCTAAGGCTTTACCCAAAGAGAGATGCTGCGCGGAACCTCAGAGGTCCATCGGCAACAATTACTGACCAAGACACTACCTTAAATATACCACTTTGCATGAGTGATTCTGTCACTAAATAAATAACAGACTTGTTGAATAATAAGGAAAGTTCGACAGATAATAAAAAGTAAAAATGGCAACTGGGCAATGGAGGGGACAGGAGAAGGGCCCAGTTGAAAATTAAATACCAAGCGAAGCAAAGAGAAAATGTGGTAAGAAACCCTGAGAGCTGTGAGATGATATTTGTTGCAGGCTTGTACCATTTATCACTCTATAAAATGCCATTATTACTGCTCTAAAATTGGCCCTGATAACGCCCTGCAGTTAAAGCTCTGGGCATCTGCAACTTTCCAATACAAGGTAGGACTAGGTATTGGTTTCCTCCTACTGGATCCCAAATTCCGCAAGAATAAATAGCCAGGTCATTCTGATGGCTTTTCTGAAATAGAAAGTACATTCTATTTTGAATAGAATAGTCAGAAAAGTTCCACATAACTCACTAAAAAATATATTTCCTTGCCTATTTTAATAATCTGGAACAGCTGGGGCACATATTGCTTCAAAATGCTGGGAGGAAGTCACTATGTTGCTTCAATCCAAAATCTACCAATTCAAGGTTTTCAAAAGGCATAGGGTATAATACCTACTCTCTAACCCTCCACACAAAAAAAATAAAAAATCAACTACTAAGAAAACAAAGCGATCCAGGGGCCCCAGACACAGAGCTGCGCAGAGACGGTGGAATCATGCTACTGTTGGGAAGGAACTACTCCAACACAGGACAAGTGATCTGGACAGCAAGGTGTAGCCAAGTCAGAAGCTGGAAGCCCTCAGCCTGGGGCTGCCCTACCTGGGACTAGCTCAACCCCTCTGGGCCCAAGATTCTGATCAGTAATAACAAAACATCCTCTGTCATCCCACATGAGTTTTACGTGAAACTGTGATATAAATCAGAGGTATTTACGATTGTTTTTGTTGATGAAAATAAAACCACAACTGCTTTTCGTCATGTGGTCCTGCAAAGCTGGACGCAGACCAAGTCATGTGAAAGCACAGGGGAAACTGGTTAAAGTCAGTGCCAGGGCACGCTTTCCAAGGGGAAGAACTTGCTAGGAAGTGGAGTGGTTGGCCACCCACCATCCTCCTCTTTCCTTCGCTCTCCGTCATTTCAGCTAAATGCGGCAACGAATTACTTCTGGGATCGTTATCTCAAATGCAGCTTCAGTTTTAAACGACAGATCTGTATCCTCAACGGCCCACTGGACAGCTTCACTTGGATGCCCCCTCAGCTCACATTTAACATGGACAAAGCTGATGATGTCCCCAAAACACCTGCATTCGGTCACTTCATGACAAATGGCACCAGAATGGTTAATCCAGAAATCCAGGTATGTAGAAATTCAGCCTGCCTGCCCCCAAACTCAAACACTAAAGATTCTAACTCTCGGTATCTTT